CCAGGTTTTGTCACAGACCAGAACCAGGTTTTGTCTTAGACCCGAACCAGGTTTTCACTCAGACCAGAACCAGGTTTGGTCTCAGACCAGAACCAGGTTTTGACTCAGACCAGAACCAGGTTTGGACTCAGACCAGAACCAGGTTTTGACACAGACCAGAACCAGGTTGTCACTCAGACCAGAACCAGGTTTTGTCTCAGATCAGAACCAGGTTTTGACACAGACCAGAACCAGGTTTTGACTCAGACCAGAACCAGATTTTCACTCAGACCAGAACCAGGTTTTCACTCAGACCAGGACCAGGTATTGTCTCAGACCTAAACCAGGTTTTCACTCAGACCAGAACCAGGTTTTCTCTCTGACCAGAACCAGGTTTTGACACAGACCAGAACCAGGTTTTTGTCTCAGACCAGAACCAGGTTTTGTCTCAGACCAGAACCAGGTTTTCACACAGACCAGAACCAGGTTTTGACTCAGACCAGAACCAGGTTTTGACTCAGACCAGAACCAGGTTTTGTCTCAGACCAGAACCAGGTTTTGACAGTCTGAACTCACAGATTGTGCGTCGCCATCTTTCCGGGCTCTGTAGGTGATCCTGTAGGTCTTGACTGGGCCGGGGGCGGCGTCCCACTTCACAGTCAGCGTGGAGGTGGTGGCGTTGAAAACCCTCAGGTTCCGAGGAGGTTCTGGAGGGACTGGAAGCACAGAGAAAGAACCTGTGAGACGAGGCGAGACAGTCAGCGGGGTGAGATGTGAAGATAATGAGGAGGATGGTCCACAGTCCAGAGGAGGATGAACGGGTCGGGGTCAGCGTGAGGAAGAGCTCGGAGCTGCTCAGAGCTGCTCAAAGCTGCTCAAAGTCCAGCTGGAGTTCAGAGAAACATCTGGATTCCAGATCAGCAGCAGGTTCTGAACCAGGTCCACTTCAGGTCCGGCTGATCAACAGCTGGACTGTTTCACTGCAGCAGAACTTTAAATGTTGATCTCCATGTTGGAGCTCAGAACGTTACTCATGAAGGATCCAGAACCAGCAGCATTCTGGGGTTTACAAAGTTGTCAGAAAACAGCTGATTTATTTTAAAACAGCTAAACATCAGCTACAAAGGAAATAAAAACTCTTAGGCTGTTTACCTTTGATCATTTTTAAACATTTAGTGGACGTCACCATTTTCTTTACCCTGCAAAGTCTTCTGGGTAAAAGATGCAGCCAGGTGAGCTTCATTCAGCTCGACCTGATGTTTGAAGTGAAGCGCATCGACAGAGAGGACGGAGGACTGATGCAACTTTCACGTCCAGAGTCCAACTCCCACCCTGAAGGGGTCCGATTTACTGTCGGCCACGAGAACCAAACTCTTGCTCTGCTTGTATCAGGACCAAACAGCCCGTAGCAACGGACCTCCAATCCCATCCTCATGGACCACCCTCCACAGTGTACCCTGAGGAACATGGTCCATTGCCTTCTCCAAGTCCACAAAACACATGTAGACTGGATGGACTAACTCCCATAACCCCTCGAGGACCCTAGTGAGGGTAAAGAGCTGGTCCAGTGTTCCACGGCCAGGACGGAACCTGCATTGTTGTTCCTCCTGGATCTGAGGTTCTACCAATGATCTGACTCGATTCTCCAGTAACCCTGAATAGACCAATCAATCTAGGGCTTCACGCCCCTAATAGGGTCACCCAAGGCAGACAGATCCTAGGAGAGGAACCAGACAAAGCGCAGCCCAGAGACCCTTTATGATGAAAAAACTGGATGGAAACAGTGTTCCCTCGCCTGGACGTGGGTCACCGGGGCCCTACTCTGGAGCCGGGCCTGGAGGTGGGGCTCGCTGGCGAGCGCCTGGTGGCCGGGCTTTTACCCATGGAGTCTGGTCAGGCACAGCCTGAAGAGGAGATGTAGGTCCCCCTTCCCATGGGCTCACCATCTGTGGGAGGGGACAAAGGGGTTGGGTGCAATGTGGGATGGGTGATGGCCGAAGGCAGGGACCCTGGCAGTCTGATCCTCAGCTACAGAAGCTGGCAATTGGGACGTGGAATGTCACCTCTCTGGTGGGGAAGGAGACTGAGCTGGTGTGTGAGGTTGAGAGGTTTCGGTTAGAAGTTGTCGGACACACCATGACACATGGCTCTGGCTCTGGAACCAGTTTCCTTGAGAGGGGTTGGACACGCTTCCATTCTGGAGTTGCCCCTGGTGAGAGGCGCTGAGCAGGAGTGAGCACACTTGTTGCCCCCCATCTTGGTGTCTATACGTTGGGGTTCACCCCGGTGAACGAGAGGGTAGCCTCCCTCCGCCTACATGTGGAGGGACGGGTTCTGACTGTTGTTTGTGCTTATGTGCCAAATAGTAGTTCAGATTATCCACCCTTTTTGGAGTCCTTAGAGGGGGTACTGGAGAGTACACCTCCTGGGGACTCCCTTGTTCTGCTGAGGGACTTCAACGCTCAAGTGGGCAATGACATTGAGACCTGGAGGGGTTTGATTGGGAGGAATGGCCCCCCTGATCTGAACCCGAGTGGTGTTCTGTTATTGGATTTCTGTGCTAGTCATGGATAGTCCATAACAAATACCATGTTCAAGCATAAGGGTTTCCATATGTTCTCTTGGCACCAGGACACCCTAGGCTGCAGTTCGATGATAGACGTTGTTGTCATTTCATCTGATCTGTGGCTCCATGTCTTGGACACTCGGGTGAAGAGAGGGACAGAGCTGTCCACTGACCACTGCCTGGTGGTGAGTTGGCTCTGATGGTGGGGGAGGATGCCGGTCAGACCTGGCAGACCCAAACGTATTGTGAAGGTCTGCTGGGAATGTCTGGCAGAGTCTCCCATGAGATGGAGCTTTAACTCCCACCTCCGGGAGAGCTTCAAAAACATTCCAGGGGAGGTGGGGGACATTGAGTCCGAGTGTGCTATGTTCTGCACCTCTATTGTCGAGGCAGCTTATCGGATCTGTGGTCGCAAGGTTGTCGGTACCTGTCGTGGCGATAACCCTCAAATCCGGTGGTGGACACCGGCATTGAGGAATGCTGTCAGGCTGAAGAAGGAGTCCATAGGGCCTTGTTGGCCTGTGGGACACCAGAAGCAGCTGATGGGTACCGGCAGTCCAAGCAACATGCGGCTCCGGTGGTTGCTGAGGCATAAACTCAGGCATGGGAGGAGTTCAGAGAGGCCATGGAAAATGACTTCTGTACGCCTTCGAGGCGATTCTGGTCCATCATCCGGCATCTCGGGGGGGGGGGGGGGGGTCACTAACACTATTTATAGTGGAGGTAGTGTGCTGCTGACCTCAACTTGGGATGTTGCGGGTCGATGGGCAGAATACTTTGAAGACCTTCTCAATCCCACCGGCACATCTTCCACTGAGGAAGCGGAGCCTGGGGACTCTGGGTCGGGCCCTCCAATCTCTGGTGCTATGGTCACTGAAGTGGTTAAAAAGCTCCTCGGTGGCAGGGCGCCAGGGGTGGATGAGATTCGCCCAGAGTTCCTTAAGGCTCTGGATGTTGTAGGGTTGTGTTGGCTTACGCAACTCTGCAATATTGCATGGACATCGGGGGAAGTTCCCCTGGATTGGCAGACTGGGGTGGTGGTCCCCCTATTCAAAAAGGGGGACTGTAGAGTGTGTTCCAATTACAGGGGGATCACGCTCTTAAGCCTCCCTGGTAAGGTCTATTTGGGGTTTCTGGAGAGGAGGGTCCATCGGATAGTCGAACCTCGGATTCAGGAGGAGCAGTGCAGTTTTCGTCCTGGTCGTGGAAACTGGACCTTGTTCACGACTGAGGGAAAAATGGAGCGAGAGGTCGATAGGTGGATAGATGCAGCGTCTGCAGTGAAGCGGGCGTTGTATTGGTCTGTCGTGGTGAAGAGAGAGCTGAGTCAAAAGGCGAAGCTCTCGATTTACCAGTCAATCTACGTTCCTACCCTCATCTATGGTCATGAGCTTTGGGTTGTGATCGAAAGAATGAAATCACGGATACAAGCGGCCAAAATGAGTTTTCTCTTCAGGGTGTCTGGGCTTTCCCTTAGAGATAGGGTGAGAAGGTCGGTTATCTGGGAGGGACTCGGAGTAGAGCCGCTGCTTCTCCCCAATGAGCAGAGCCAGTTGAGGTGGCTCGGGCATCTGGTTAGGATGCCTCCTGGACGCCTCCCTGGTGAGGTGTTCCAGACACGTCCCACCGGGAGGAGACCCAGAGGAAGACCCAGGACACGCTGGAGGGACTATGTTTCTCGGCTGGCCTGGGAGCACCTTGGGATTCACCCAAAGGAGCTGGCCCAAGTGGCTGGGGAGAGGGAAGTTTGGGCCTCCCTACATAGGCTGCTACCCCCGCGATCTGACCCTGGATAAGCGGAAGAAAATGGATGGATAGATGTAACAAGTGATAAATTTTTATCCTTGAATCAATTTTTTTAACCCATCCAGAGGATCTGACTTAACTTTTTTAGATTTTTCTACCTGGATTATTGAGCAGCATTAGGATATTTTTATCCTTGACTTCTTGTGTTTTAGTCACCACTTCAGCCGATGTACATCATCTCCCAAAATGCATTGCACTGGTAAAACACTGGTGACGTCCTTAGGTGAAAATTGTTTTTTTATGTAATTAAGAGTTTTCATGTGTCACACACAACTTTTAGTAGAATAGAGAAATAATATTTTAAAGCCAATATGTGCAGAAAGTCAGAGATCCGTTTGACGGATCAAAAGGGAAGAAAGGAGTTTTGTTTTGGAATATTTTTCACTAAATAAAGATAATGCTGCCTGTTGAGCTCCAGCTGGACTCTGAACATTGATGGATGTGATGAGGACGTGATGTTACGTCATGAGATGAACATGAAGCATGAACAGAACCATAGACAGATGGACCCACACAGTCAGAGACTGCAGGGTGGCTGACCCGTCATGATGAACACAGTGAAACACTCAAACATGCAAATGTCTGTTTGGGTCCAGGACCCGTCCAACACAGAACCACTGCAAGTGGTCCTCATGAGACCTACCCTCTGCAGACTTTAACACTAGAAAGAGACATTGAAAAGAGAACACGGTTATTCCAGCAGACGGGCTCCAGACTCAGAACCGTTGTGTTGGAGCAGGTCTCTTACGTGTGCGCTCGCTCCCCATCAGGTCCTCGCTCTCAGACTCGTCGGGGTAGATGGCCGTGACGGTCACCAGGTACTCGGTGTCGGGGTCCAACTCCTCCAGGATGTAGGAGGTCTCGTCACTGCTCAGGATCTCCTGGTGACGGATCAAAGGAAGTTTTTAAAACAAGAACACAAAGCCCACGATGCTTTCATCCAAATACAAACTTTTTGAAGTGTTTATTTTATTTGTTTCTTATTTTTAATATTTGGATATGAATGTTAAGATTACAAATGCTTCTCCATCCTGCTGAGATAAACTTTCGTTTTTGTTTTAGTCTCAACAAACTGCATCATCTCTGTTCTGTGAAGCCCAACAGGAGGTCAGGACTTCATCTGTAACAATCTGGGCTGTGACAGAGCCAGACTCTTATTGTGAAAGTCCAAGTTCAACCCTCTTCCTCCTTCCTGCTCACTGAATCCTCCTAAACATCAAAGGTCTGACATGTTGAGTACAACACTCACATGTTGCTTTCAGGATAATTGTAAATCTGAGCATCACCTTGTTGAAGACAGCTGACAGAACCCGTCTGGTTCCGTTCTGTCACAAGAACTTACGTTCTGAGCATCGGTTCCTGCCTTCTTGACCCAGGAGAGTCGGTACAGGGCCACATCGGGGGCTCCGTGTTCCCACGTGGCTCTGAACGAGGACTGGGTCACCTCGGAGAACTGCAGGTTCTTGGGAGCAGGAACAACATCTGTTCCCACACAAATAGACCAGAACATCAGAGGAACATCAGGAGAACGCTGCTAAGATGACTCTGATTTCTGAAAATCTAAGTTCTGGTCCTGTCCCACTTCATATTTTAACCTCATCACCACCACTCAGAACAGTTCGGTCTGAGTTCAGACAGAACTCAGCAGAACCTCAGTAACATGTGGACATTTTCAGGTGGACTGTTCCGTACAAAGGAGAAGTAACACAAATGGAATGTGAACCAATAAAAGCACAAATCCAGACCTGTGATGGCGGTTCCGAGCATTGGGAATCCAGTTCCCTCTTCATAAACCGGAGCAACAGCCACGTCATACTCAGTCTGAGAGATAAGGCCTGTCAGGGACAGGCTGGTGATGTCTCCGTTCACTTCAGCCTGACAAGAACATAAAAAGTAAGTAAGTAAGTAAACTTTATTTATATAGCACCTCTTACAGGTCAGAAACCACAAAGTGCTTTACAGAATAAAAGACATAAAAACACAAGGTAAAAACACAAACGATAAAAGATAGAACAACATGTGTATGACATAAAACAATATAAAACTAATTAAATGCCTATCTAAACAAATGTGTCTTCAGCTGCTTTTAAAAAATATTAAGAGAATCAAGGCAGCGCAAAGTCAGAGGCAACACATTCCACAGTCTGGGGTCCACAGCCTGGGGTCCACAGTCTGGGGTCCACAGTCTGGGGTCCACAGCCCTAAAAGCGTCATCCCCTCTGGTCTTAAAAAGAAAATTTAAAATTAAAACTTTAAATTTTTTAAATGAATTCTAAAATGTACCGGTAGCCAATGTAAAGAGATTAAAACTGGCGTTATGTGCTGTCTTTTTCGTGTGTTGGTTAAAAGCCTTGCAGCAGATTCTGAACTGTCTGCAAACCATCAAGATCCTTCTTAGTCAAACACGTGAAAAGACTGTTACAATAATCCAGACGGGATGTAATAAAAGCATGGATAATCATCCCTAATTCGGCTTTTGACACAAGAGACTTAAGCCTTGAAATATTTCTTAGTTGAAAAGAGCAATTTCTGATTAATCCATGAGAATGGCATTGCAGTGACATGGCAGAATCAAAAATAATGCCAAGGTTTCTGTGATTTGGTTTGACAGATGAGGCCATTACATCAAGGTGTTGCTTAATTCCAGATATTTGATTGTCAGGTGCAATAATTAGGGTTTCAGTTTTATCACAATTAAGTTGCAGAAAGTTGTCACTGTTAGATATTGCTAATACAATTTAACAAGGAGGACAATTTTTGATGTTCAGAAGGTCTGAAGGAACTATATAGTTGAATATCATCAGCATAGAAATGATAAGACACATCTGAAAACTGACTTATTATTTGACCGAGGGGGAAAACATACAAAAGAAAGAGAATAGGTCCCAACACTGAGCCCTGAGGTACCCCACATAGCAGGCTCTTGGATTCTGACATTATTTGGTTTGCAAAAACACTCAATGTTCTACCAGAAAGATAGGAGATAAACCACTCCAGTGCCAAGCCTGATGTAGCCTGTTAATAAAAATACTGTGTTCAACAGTGTCAAAAGCAGATGTTAGATCTAGGAGAACCATCACCGTGGATTCTCCAGAGTTGGCTGACATCAAAATATCACTGGAAACTTTAAGAAAAGCAGCCTCTGTGGAGTGGAGCTTTTGAAACACAGACAGAAAATTGTCAAAAATCTCATGTCTTTCCATGTGAGCGATTAGCTGCTCAGCTACTACTTTTTCAAGAAGTTTTGAAAAAAATGGGATCTTGGAGAATGGCCTGTAATTTTCAAACTTTGTAGGATCCAAGTTTGCTTTTTTAACAATGGCTCACCAACAGCATGTTGAGTGAGCTTGGAAACACACCTGTTGAAAGAGAAGCATTACAAATATCTACAATGCAGGGACCAATGACAGAAAAAAACTTTTTTAACAACATCGCTGAAAGAATGTCATTTGGACCGGTAGAAATGTTCATTTTATCCAATAAAGATGAAAAGTCACATAACGTCACTTGATCAAATGCAGTTGTGGAATAAGAAAGTGAAAAGCCAGAAATAGAGTTATGGCACATAGATGGACAAATGGTTCCTCTGACATTACTGACTTTCATCAGAAAAAAGTTAAGGAAGTCATTACTGACAGCTTTGGAGGACACTGAGACTTCAGGATTGACAGGAGAGACAAGGGAGTTTACAGTTTGAAACAAGACCTTAGAATTTTTATTATTTAAGGAGGTGAGATTAGAAAAATATTCAAGTCTAGCTGCTTTTATTTGTTCATTTAAAGAGGTCCAAAGTCCCTGAGGTGGAGCCTGTGAACCTCCAGTTTAGTGGATTTCCACAGGCGTTTTACCCACGACAGACTCTTCTGGATTGCCGAGTTGATATTTATCCATGGAACGGCCTTTTTAAATGGTACCAGGAAGGTTTTCAAAGGTGCCACTACGTTAAGAATATCTAAACAATGATTGTTAAAACACCATGTAGCATCATCAACATCCGGGCATTCCTTCAACAAAGATGGATCAAACAGATCACAGAACCCGTCAGCAACATCCTGAGTAACAACTCTCCGCTGGATTTTATGTTTCACTGGTAATGGGTCTAAAGCAAAGCTAAGATTCAAAAATACACAGCAGTGATCACTCACAAAAACATGACTAACACACAGATTGGTGATGTTTAGGCCCAGAGAGAAAACAAGATCCAACGTGTGGCCTTTAGTGTGTGTGGGACCAGAGACATGCTGGATGAAATTAAGAGTCAGTAATATACAAGAGCTCGTTTGTTGTGATGCAGCTGGTGTCGTCCACATGTATATTAAAATCCCCAATTAACAAGACTTTCTCAAGTTGTATAATAGAAGATAAAAAGTCTGTAAAGTCAGATAAAAAAGCATCTGCCGGTCCCGGTGGGCGCTGAATTAAAACACAATAAAATATGTTGGATGAACCGACCTCGATCACCTGCGACTCAAAAGAGAGAAAAGTTGCAGCGTCGACTGACCTGCATGAAAAACAGGTCTGGTGCACCGCAGCAAGTCCACCACCCCGGCGGTTCGTGAGGGGTGTCCCGATGAATGAACATCCAACGGGACAAAGTTCATTTAAGTGGACATGTTCCTTCTCCCTTTGCCATGTTTCCGTGAGGAACATAAAATCCAAATGTTTGTTGGTGAAAAGTTCGTTCAGCACAAAGGATTTGTTTGCAACAGTGCGAGCGTTGATCAGAAGCAAAGGTGACATGCTGACGACATCAACAGCTGATCGCCGTGGAACTGACAGCAGACACCTGGAACGGTGACGCTGCCACGTAGCGCTCCTGCCTGGACAGCAGGGATCAGGAAGTGCAGAAATCAATCCATCTTTCCAAACATGCTTGTAGTTTGCATGAGTTTCTGCTCCTCTGGTAAAAGGAGGACGTGAAGGTAAAATCATGTTGCTTTCCTCTAGTCCATGAAGTTGAACCGGCAACAAAAAACGGGTGCGTAATCGTGCACTTCAGAGGCCGTATCCGTTCCGAAGAGCACGCTTTCTCTTATATTTAACACCAGCTCTACAGCCCCTTTTTTCAGTCTCATTTTCCTTTTCTTTGCTCGGAGCCAAATATATATAAAAATATTCAGGAGAAAAGGAAGAACACACAAACGGAGGAGGGAAGGTCTGTCTTTAGACTATCAGTAACATGTTAATAACATGTTATTAACATGTTATTAAACTTTTATCATCATCATCATCATCATCATCAACTTTATTTATAAAGCGCTTTAACAGCAGCCACAGCTGAAACAAAGTGCTGAACATCAGTAAGAAATAAGAAAAAAGAAAGCATAAAAACAAAGCTGCAAAGCCAAGCACACAATGAATTAAAAACTCAATTTAAAACACAATAAAACTACGAGTTAAACAGATCAAATCAATACCAATAAAAATGAAGTAAAATCAAGTGTCAGTTGGTTGAAGGCCGATGAGCAGAGATGAGTTTTCAGACGAGTTTTAAACATGGACAGTGAGGGGCTGGTCGAATGTGCAAAGGCACAGCGTTCCATAACTTAGGGCCACTAACAGAGAAGGTCCTGTCTCCTCTGAGCTTCCTCTTACTCTTGGGAATGACCAGAAGCAGCTGGTCAGAGGACCTGAGTGACCGAGGGGGAGTGTAGTGGTGGAGAAGCTCTGTTAAATAAAGGGGGGGGGGGGGGCTGTTTAAAACCTTAAAAACCAACAAAATAACTTTAAAATGAACTCTAAAATACACGGGCAGCCAGTGGAGAGACGCCAGAACAGGTGTGATGTGCTCTCTTTGACCTGTTCCAGTTAAGAGACGTGCAGCAGCATCTTGCACCAGCTGCAGACGTGTAAGTGAGGACTGGATGACTCTGAGACAGAGAGAATTACAGTAATCCAGCTGTGAAGAGAGGAAGGCATGGATTACTGTTTCAAACTGTTGTCTTGAAAGAATACATTTTACCTTTGCTATTTTTCTCAAATGATAAAACCAGACTTGACTGTGGCTCTTATTTGACAGTTGAGTTTAAAGTCACTGTCCACCTTAAAACCAAGGTTTGTAACTGTGTAGACTTTAGGTGCATTGTCAGGGGGTCTAGATCGACTGGAGGGCTCGAACAAAGTCCACAGGGTCCAAAAACAAGCACCTCTGTCTTTTTTTTCATTAAAATGCAGGAAGTTTAGGGCCATCCAAGTTTTAAGATCCTCGAGACACGATAAAAGAGGTTTAATAGACCAGACATGAAGTTGCCTCAAAGGCACATAGATTTGACAGTCATCAGCATAGCAGTGAAAGGAGATGTCGTGTTTTCTGAAAATTGATCCTAGAGGAAATAGATATAAAGAAAAAAAGCAAAGGCCCTAAAATTGATCCTTGAGGAACACCACATGACAAAGGAACAGAAAAGGATTCACACCCAGCAATTTTTACAGAAAACGTTCTGTCTGCCAGATAGGACCCCAACCACTCCAGAGCAGTCCCATCGATGCCGACTTGGTGCTGCAGACGTGACAATAACATGCTGTGGTCCACTGTGTCCAAAGCAGCAGCTAAGTCCAGTAAAACAAGGATCACATGATCACTCGAGTCACATGCCAGGAGGATGTCATTAAAAACTCTCAGCAGAGCTGACTCTGTGCTGTGGAGCATTTTAAATCCAGACTGGAAAACATCCAAGATGTTATGATCATCCAGGAAGGTTTTTAACTGTGAATAAACAATTTTCTCCAAGATTTTTGACAGTAAGGAAAGCTTGGAGATGGGTCTAAAATTCCCCAACACAGTGGGTTTGAGACCAGGTTTCTTTATCAGGGGCTGCACCACAGCATGTTTAAAACTAGCAGGGACTACTCCAGATAACAAACTGCTGTTAAAAATGTCAAGAACCAAGTGTCCAAAACAAGGAGAACCTCTTTAAGAAAGTGTGGTGGAAGAGTATCGCATGGAGAACCAGAGGGCTTCATCCGAGTGACCATGTCCTCTAAAGTTGTTTTCACACCAGATAGTCCGGTAGACTGGGTTCGGTTGGGGACAAATATTCATGACATTTTGTTACATGTGAGCTGGTGAGTTTGCATTCACAATGCACTGTGCAGTCGAGTCAACCTGTTGAACCAACCTGTTGAAGCAACCTGTTCCCCCGCTCGCCTGTGGGGGCGCTGCACCAAGAACTACTGAAAGAAACGACACAAAAACCTCTGAAGACACGTCTTCTTCTTCTGTAAATAAAATCAAAAACGAAGTGGCATCAAGTTTTAGCAGTTTTAGGAGTTATATTTAGTCATTTTTCAACAATGGACTCAGTATGAGCAGAAGATGAGACAGAAGACCATGGAGAATATTGTTCTTCACACAAGGCAGCTGACGGCTCCATATAAGAGAAATGAGTGTTTGTTTGTCCTGCGCTGTACTCCACTTCCTGCTTGTGGAGCGGGGCCCGGTCTGTTTACATTCACACTGTACTCGAACCGTGCTGGAGTTCTCTCGGATGAGAGACGAAACGTTTCTACATTTTTTGTTGATTTGCTTTGTTTTGTTTTTTTGAATGTCCAGAGGACCAGATTTAACTTTTTTAGATTAGAAAAATAGTTATTTTTGGCTGCTTTAACTGTGTCTTGATAATTGTGCCAACAGTCTTTAAAAATTAGAAGGGACACCTGCAGCTTGTCCTTTCTCCACCTGCGTTCCGCTCTGCGACATTCCTGTCTGACCGCTCGAGCCATTCTGTTCTGAAACCAGGGTTCACATTTAAGTCCAGGCGGTTTGGTCTTTAAAAGAGCCACAGTATCCAATACAGTCAGACAGTATGAGTGGAGCCAAGAACTCAGATCCTCAGAATCAGTTGAGGCAGGTGGACAGAGCTGGCAGAAAACCTCAGTGAACTGTCCAGCAGTGGAGGGGTTAATAATCCGACAGCTCTGAGCAGGAGTGTGATTTTAAACAGTAGCATATGTGAAAACAGGCTGGAATACTACAGGCAAATGATCAGAGATTATAGAGTCATGAATTTCCAGATTAGACACAGGTAATCCCAAAGAGAGCACAAGATCAAAAGTGTGACCTTTATCATGTAGGTCCAGACACAGAATGCACCAAATTAAAAGAGTTGACAAGAATTAAAATTATTTTACCACAGGTTTGTCAGGGCAACAAACATGGATGTTAAAATCACCAACAATAAGGAGATGGTCATATCCAGTCACTATCTCAGAAAGAAATTCTGAAAAGTCACTAATAAAATCCTTATTGTATTTGGGTGTGTGGTAGATGACAGCACAGAGTGTCGGGTCAGAATGACCCACTTCACAGGAGGTCAGCTCAAAGCTGGAGAAGTGACGCTGTTTAAAACACTGTTTATAACTAAAAACATCTTTATACACGGCTGCAGCTCCTCCTCCCTGGCCCGATGATCGTACAGTTCCTCCTCCCCGGCCCGATGATCGTGGAGTTAAAATAAGAGCAGCCTGTTTGTAAAAGCTCCGACAGAGCAGCTGACTCAGCCTCACTCAGCCAAGTCTCTGTGATACAGAGGAAGTCAAGGTTATGGGAGCTGAAGAAATCCTCAGGATGAACGTTTTATTAACCAGCGATTTGGTGATCACCAAGCCAGTCCTGGCTGGAGCTGGAGCGGGGTTGTCACACTGAAGGGGGGCCCAACTCAGCTGTCTCAGATTCCGTGAGTTCGCTCCACACCTGCTGAGCCAGGGCATGCAGGGGCGCTGACACCGGGGGACATCTGCACCAACAACACGAACCAGGCAATCATCCACCGGCTACAGAAAATGGCAAGACAAAAACACGCTAGGAAACACCTCCGGAACTGGCTGGGAACCATTGCACCAACAGAAAGGCTTTCAGCTTCACACCAGGCATCCACCGCATCTACCACAGCGGCCATGATGATTCCTCGAGGGGGGGGGGGCGCCAGAGCCCAGCACAGGTGAGCTGGAATTCCCGACAGAAGCTGGGGGGAAATTTTATGTTCCCATCTATCATAAGTAGCCACCTTGTTGATAAATGGCCTTATCTCCAATGTTTGTGATCATACACCAAAAGCGACCCGACTTCACTCATAAACAACAGAATAATGACTAGAACTGACAGTGACAGAAGACCTGCCACGTGCACCGGCGCCATCATCCTGATGTCATTCACGACGTTAAACAACCCTGTTCATGCCACATGTTGAAAATTTGTTATAACACGTTATTAACATGTTAATAGCATGTTAATAACACATTATTGCCTTGCTATTAATCTTTAAACGAACCTGTTCATGATATATGTTTAAAACAGTAAGTGAAACAGAACAGGAAGTGAAACTGAACAGGAAGTGAAACATGTCAACACATTCTTGACCTTTAAACAAACCTGTTCATGCCACATGTTGAAAATTTGTTATAACATGTTAATAACATTTTAATAACATTTTAATAACACATTATTAATCTTTAAACAAACCTGTTCATGCCACATTTTGAAATTTTGTTATAGCATGTTATTAACATGTTATTAACTTTTAAACAAACCTGTTCATGCAACACTTTATTAGCCTGTTGACCTGTTGTTAACATGTTAAACCTTTAATAAAAAGTTAACAACCTGTTATTAACATGTTAATAAATTGATAAAAATCTGAACAATCAAAGTCTCGTAACAATCTTTTGTATTTGTTCTTCATTATTCGTTGTACAATTTATTGGAATGGATCAAATGTCCCTGAGTGGATCCAGAGTTCTGAACAGAACTGGGTTTCTCAGATTTAGTTCTCTGTGGCCACCTCTAGTCAAAGTGTGTTTGTGGTTCTGAAGGTTCTGGGTCTTGTGTGTGAAGATAAAATGAACCAACACGTTTGTAGATTCTTAGAATCGGATCACAGAAACATTTTCTTCAGATGTTCTGTGTCAGGAGAAGAAACAGGAAGTGAAACTAAACAGGAAGTAAAACCAAACAGGAAGTGAAACCGAACAGGAAGTGAACCAGAACAGGAAACGAAACTGAACAGGAAGTGAAACTGAACAGGAAGTGAAACCGAACAGGAAGTGAAATCGAACAGGAAGTGAACCAGAACAGGAAATGAAACTGAACAGGAAGTGAAACAGAACAGGAAGTGAAACAGAACAGGAAGTGAAACCGAACAGGAAGTGAAACCACTCAGAGGGGTTGATTTAAACCAAGTTGGAGCAGCTGACTGAACCTCTAAGTGGACCTGAAGTCGTGTCAGAATAGTTGAACTCTTCTCTGAAACTGAACACAAATGAATAAGTGCGTCCTCACCTCCTTGGCGTCTCCGTCCTCCGGCCTGTAGGTGACGATGTATTTGCGGACGGCGCCTGGAGCGGCGTCCCAGTCGAGCGTCATGGCGCTGTGGGTAACGTCTCTGATCCTCAGGGAGCCGCCGGGCAGCAGGGGCACTGAGGGAAAACCCAAATATCATCCTTCAAAACCTGACTCATCGGAAACATCTCTGAGCCCAGGACCAGAACCTGAGCGGAGCCGATGGGTCCAAAACAAACAGCAGAACTTTTTATGATCATCTGGTTCCTATAAATCTTCTATCAGAATAATAAATTCCAGGATGCTCAGAAAAACAACTTAAAAGCTTATAAAAACCAAACTAGAGCCAAAAGTGACAGAAAGAACAAATAAATCATAAAAATAAGCGAATCGAACTCCTCTGAGAGCGAACGAGTCACTCGCTCGTTTCAACCAGTTCTCCTCCACCATCAGAGGAACAAACGGACCTCTAAGACAAACACGTTTGTCAGGAAGCTCAGTCTGAATTCTTAATTCCACTTTATAAAGAAATCAGAAACTAAATCTGTCAGGAGCTGGAAAATAAAACGTCAGGACAGAAAACTAAATGAGAGCTGAGGAGCTGCAGCCTGAAGACCGTCCACGTCGGCTCCAAACCACATTGTGTTTGGACCAAAAGGAAAGACGCAGCGTTCCTGTGAGCAGCCGGCAGAACCAGAGTCAAACGTCCCAGCAGAGATCCGTTCAGTCGCTCCTTGACTTGGGTTCAAAGTTCAGAGTCGAGAAGAGACGACAGCTTCCAGTTTGACTTTGTTACAAACGGGCACCAACGCAGCGACAGCTTTGTTTTATAACAGCCCCAGTTATGACAGAGCCTGACTCTTATTTTGAAGAGTACTCATGAGCTTTACTCTGAAACTTTAGGTTAAAACTTCCTCCTTTTTTAAACGGTTAAATGATTTATTTAATAATAATAATAATAATAATGTCATCACAATGTCAGCACTGTATGTTTCCATACAATGGCGAAATTAGTCTCTGCATTTAACCCATCCACCACCAGGTGGTGCAGTGGGCAGCTATTGAAAGCGCCCGGGGGACATTTTGGGGATTAGACGTGCTGCCCAGAGACGCCACGTGATGTGCAGTGACTGGGGATCGAACCTGGGACTCTCGGGTCCCAAACCGGCTGCCCTGCCTCTACACCATCTCATTTCCTGCCACTTTAAAGTTGTAAGCAGGAGGCAGTAGAACCTGACCCTGGTTGCCATGGTGATTCCCTCCTTTTCTCCAGAGCAGGGGGCTGTCTTGTCCAACAGACAGAACACGTCCTGTCATTCGTCCTCAGAGGTCGCCACAGCGGACTAACTCGCTAAGATGGTTTTACGCTCGATGGCCTTCCTGACACAAACACTGAGCTACCACAGCCCTCTGTGTGGAGCAGAGGGCCATATGAAAGTTAAAGTCACAAACTGTGTAGAAATACTGCTTTTTCAACTCTAACTAGTAAACATTTGAGTAAAAATACATTTGTGTTGTATTACTGTGCCTCGGACTGCTCTCATAAACCACAACGTTTGATTTGGAACTTTAAAGTCAGGAACCATTGGAGAACATTTCTTTAACAGTTCTGGAGGCTAACGTAAACCCACAAAGTTTCCAAATGAATTTATTTTAATGACTTCTTGTGAAAAATGTTTAGTTTTTCTTCCTTCCTGGTAAAACTGCAGAACATCTGAGGGCAGGGCTCCTTCAGAACATTTGGACCATCTCAAAAGCTCTTCAGATGTTTAAAGAACGGAGGATGACCTACAGGTGACACCTCGGTCCGTCAGGGCCTCGCTGGCTGCCTCTCCGTACAAGGCCTGGATGCTAACGAAGTACTCTGTGTTAGGGACCAGCCGCAGGATCTCGGTGTTCGTCTCGCCTCCTCCGACACGACTCTGCAGAGGAAATAAACCGACATGTGATCAGCAAGCATGTGGACATTTCTTCTGCAGATGGAACGCCGGCAACAGCAACCCTGGCAGATTTATCATCAGATAGTCTGGACCAACAGCTTTCCAGACTGAACTCTGACCTTTGACCCCTGAGGAAGACTCCTAAACTCCAGGAATAAACAGAAACCTGGAGGTCCAAGGAGACTAAAGATCTCTGGTACAACTCTGGAAACTTTCCACAGGAAGTTGAGAAGTTTGAAAAAATTACTAACTGGAAACTTTTGTGAGAATTATAGAAGTTTATGGGAATTACATGGACAAAGAGTCCAGCTGACAGGACAGAGCGGAGGACCGGGACAGAGCGGAGGACCGGGACAGAGCGGAGGACTGGGACAGAGCGGAGGACCGGGACAGAGCGGAGGACTGGATCAGAACATGTCGTGGTCATATTTAACATTATCTTCATCGTTTCTCTTTATGTTGTGAAACCAAACGAGTTTCATGAGGAAGAACTCGTGTTGAGTAAACTCATTTTTCTCTTGAAGCCCTGAGGCCAGATGGTTTCCAGGACGGACCTCATTAGTCCATTCAGTCAGAACCTTCTGGTCCATCTGCTCACGTTGTTTCTCCTGATGCCTTCAAGCTAGAAGCTCCTCCGTCTCTTTGATTGGTCGCGTTGAGCCGGTCCTCGGATCAAACTTTGACTTCAGAGGGCCGACCACTGATGTCCCTGCTCTGTCCCTGCTCCCCCACCACTGATGTCCCTGCTCTGTCCCTGCTCCCCCACCACTGA